TAATTTGTCCAACTATTTTTATTAATATCTCGAAATTTTACGTGGTTGTTTGAAAAATGACCTCTACAATTTTTGTTCAGTTTTATCTGTTCTATTTATATTTTTCTTTTGGCACACCTTACGCTGGACACCCTGTATACAGGGTGTCTCAGACCTCCATGATGACTCTTTGTGAGAACGTAGAACGGATTGATGTGAGCAAGAAAGTTCTGTGTCGTTTTGCGATATTCACAATAATAGTCGAGATATTAATTAAAAAAGACTGGTGAATGATCACGCGCGATATGGTAGATCAGCTGCAGTAGCACCGTCTGCCGTTGTATACTTACACATTAAGTCAAACTGAACAAAAAAGTCCTTTACCATTTTGCAAATGACCACATAGATTTTTAAATATTAAAAATTGTTACATATATGATTGTATACCATAATGCATAATTTTTTTTTTAATTAATATCTAAAAATCTATGTGGTCATTTACAAAATGGTAAAGGACTTTTTTGTTCAGTTTGATTTAATGTATAAATATACAACGGCAGACAGCGCCACGGCAGCTCATTTACCATATTGCGCGTGATCATTCACCAATCTTTTTTAATTAATATTTCGACTATTATTGCAAATATTGCAAAACGGCACAGGACTTTCTTGCTCATCTCAATTCTATGTTCTCACAAAGGGAGGTCATCATGGAGGTCTGAGACACTCTGTATGTATATATGTATATATATATAAATGTGAGTGTGTGTGTGTGTGCATATCTAATTATATATAAATTTATATATAATTATATACAAATTTACTTTTTTCTCCTATAAATTTTCGCTGGGACATCGAATTCATCGTGTGTGTGTGTGTTGTTGAAAATATTTAATCTTTGAGTATTAATAGCTGAATCTACAGCAATTAGTGGTTCCTAAAAGCACATAATATAGATGAAATACAACTGTTTTAACTACTACAAAATAAAGTTTATATTATCAAATTAATTATTTACCATGAAATCTGGTGGTACGTATAGTAATGTCTCATTTAATTTTTCCAAATTTGGTGGTAAAGTGTTTTCCAGAACTGCATTTATCACAGATTCAACATCATTATTATAATGCTTTAAACATATCTGCAAATTTTAGAAAAAATTTTCAGATATAAATTTACATATATAAATTTTATAAATATTATGCAATATTAATACTTTATCAAAATAGACATATCACAACTTTTAAAACGGTTTTTTACAAAATATTTTATTACAATTTAATATAAATACTTCATATTTTGTCAGTTGTTTTTAAATAATTCAACTTAATTTTTATTTATTTATAATTTGATCTCTGTTTGATGTTAACATGATTTTATTTCTTTTATCTTTTTTTACATAAAATATAAATATCATTAAATGTCAATAAGTAATGCTGTTGATACGTATATAATTTTTAACGTGTATATTTTATAAAGTTACAATATACCCTTTTATCATGCGAGTATTCAAATATTAAATATATAAGTGAAACTTTTACCTGTATGAAATCTTCATTGTAACCACATAAGATTTCTTTTACTTTGGAGATATAAGACATTAATTTGTCATTCGAAATAGCTTTTATTTCTTTATTCATATAATTGATATCATTACAACATTCGTCTCGCTGGTCATTTTGAATGTCGCTTAGACCTGCCTATATAACACATAAAAAATTGTTAATTTACATCTAAGAAAATCTATTAACAAAATGGCTATTGCAAAACAATTACTCACATAAATACCTTTGGAAAGTACATTAGGTGACATCTTAGTGTATCCGATTGATGCATGTAGTGAGTTTAAGATATAATTGCTATTTATTGTATCACTAACTATATGTAAAGAATATTAATATTTTATCTTTTCATTTCTGACAAGATATATTATAATATTATACTATTATTTCATAATAGTACAATATTATCTTACATATAGTATAGTATAGTAAATATCATACTATTGATATAACTATACTATTGATATAATATCGTACTATTATCTTAAAAAAGGATACATATCAGGATAAAGTTTTGATACAACTTTAAGATCGTGATCAATTGGATAAAAGTTATGATAATCCATAATAAATTCCTTTTCAGATATAGTATTCATCAATGAATTTAAATATTGATCTATACAATTTTTTACCTCATCTTCTGTTATAGCATTTCTAAATAAATGAAATTACTAAATAAATTATATTTTATATTTATATATTGTTGTTCTTTTCGAAAATAAAGATATTCTTAAGGCTCACATTTTTTTTTCGATATTTGATATAGGTTCATAAACAATAATTCGGTAAAGATCTAACAATTCCACTCTGGTTACATCTAGACGATGCTTTAGTTCGATATATTTTGGCATGCATTCGTCATTATATGCTAACTTGTCTAATGTCCCATACATTTGAAATATTGTATTTCCATATATTGAAAGTACTCTAGAAATAATGTAATTAACATTAATGTATGACATAAACATACATATACGCGCAATAAAAAAATTTATAATAATTAAATAAGAAAATATATATACAGGGTCTCCCATTTTAATCGATCACCTCAAATATCTCTTGAACAGTGCATTTTAGGGAAAAATGTCTCAGACAAAAGTTTTGGAATTTCGAGAGAAACATAAGATGTTATCATTGGTTTGACCTCGAATGGCGTCGTTAAGGTCAGGACAAGGTCACTTTGAATTTTTTAAATGGAACCCTCCATTTTTCATTACATATTCTTATAGCATACCTCGAGAGCTTTCCAAAACACTATAATAAAATATTTTTTCATTAAGTATCTTTCGAGTTAAAAGGCTTCAAAGTTACAATATTGTTGCCATTAGCATTGATACCCAAGATGTTCGACCGACGACTAAAACCTTTTGAATGTTGTTCAGGACCATGACCTTGATATTTGTCAAGGTCAAGGCGATTGGAGGCTGTTCCTAATATTTCCATTTCTTCAAATTTTACAGTGAAAACGAAAATAATAATACGATCTTGCCTTAGA